TAATTAATTTTATAAAGTATTTAAAATATTAAATTTTGAGTAATTTTCTTCAGCTTTTGAAAATTTTATGTTGACATACACTTTGGTTTTTAATATAACTCATCCGATGCTACTAAATTAACTTATTCTGATTTCTATCTGATCAGATGAATGGTCGGAGATTATGACGACCTTGTAACCAGAAAATTAAAAAAATTGTCAAAAAAAATTATTAATGAAAAAACTCCATCTTAGAATTCAAATAACTCCAGAAATTAGCTGACACCTCCTATCATATACTATCTCTGCAAGAGTCAGGTCAGACCAAAAATGGAGCATGGCTGCCATAACTGAGCTGGAAGAACTCACTTTTCAGTCTCAGCAGAATTCAAAATCGTTACGCGGCCATGTGGGTGATGAATTATTTTTCAATTTGCTTCCTTTACGTTGATTTTTGAGTCGCTAACCGTTTATCCCATCGTCAACGACACTTTCTTTTTCTGCAATTTCTGGAAGCAAGTGAGTAGTTTTTCGTCTGGATTATCTTTATCTAACGACATCCAACTACCGACATTTCTCGGTACCAGTTGAATTTTTATCTCCTATCGTCTCCATCCCAATGCAAAGTCCAGCATTGCTTATAAATCAAATTATCTTTTGTGATCCATCAACTTATCAAGACAAACATCAATCTTTTAAGATGTTCTCTTTCTCACCTGATCTAACAACCCAATTTATAGACATCAGAAGTTAGAGAAATCTTTTAACCGTAAAACTACATATTCGCAAACAAGATATCGAGGCATACCTCACAAATATTGCCTTGTGCCAGTATATACTAATTGCTTGGCGATGGAATAATGTTTTATGAGCTTGTCTCGCAAATCATCGCGACTGGAATGGTTTTGCTTCTCACTACTGTAGCCTTGCAGAAAATAAATATTTAGTGCAGAGTAGACCAATTTTTATGAATGCCTCACTACAGTCAGGATTCGGTATGATGATGTTTTGCATCGGGCAGCAAGGCACCATGACCCGTGGTGATAGCACCTGTTAGGGTCCCAGCTATGGGCAAATAGTGAATCCACCCCCCAAAAAAAACAAATTATATATATATATATATAATAAAGAAGTTAATGGTCAGAGTTGAATTAGACCGGGAAACTAATATTAATGTGTGTGTGTGTGTGTGACTTATTCTTTAATAAATATGACATTTCATTCTGAACTGACGTCAAATCTATGTTAACAAATGATCGTGCCATTTCAACAATCCATCACACTCGCTTACGTTTGTGAAAAGAGGCAGACTGACATGTGAGATGCAAGATTATTTTAATGATAATTAAAGATGAAACATTTCGAAGCCTGCAGTGATTAAATATAAGAAAGACTCAAGCAATCTAATTATATATATATATATATATATATATATATATATATATATATATATATATATATATATATATAGTGCTTATCTAGAGCAGACATCTAAACTATATCTTCCTATACTCCTTACTCATCCAGATATTATCCACGGCCATTTTTATATTTCTTACTCTTCCTTACTTTACTTGGTTATCGCTTTCTTTCAGTTCTTTTTTCTTTTTCACTTTCAAAGATTTTTTTTAATTCTTTTGATTCATGGTTTTACATTATTTTTTTCTTCAATGTCTTTTTCTTTTCTTTTCTTTTTCTCTCCTCTTCTTTTTCTTTTGAAATAGTTTTATATTTCCTTCATTTTTTCTTAGGCTTTTGTCTCGTAGCATTTTTTTTTGTTTGTTTGTTTTTTTCACCTCCTTCAATTCTCTTCCTATTTCTTTCTTTCTCGGTATTGAGCCTTCTTTGTTGTTCCTTTTTTCTTTTTGTCTCCACGTTCTCCACCTTTCTTCTATCGCCTCCTCTCTCTCTCTCTCTCTCTCTCTCTCTCACACACACACACACACACACAGCTTCTTTCTCTCTTTTTCTTTCTCTTTCTCTCTACGATTTTTTTCTCTTTTTCTCTCACGCCCGCATTCTGTCATTATATTTTTCCAGCCTTCTCGTTTCACATTTTTTCTGTCATCATTTTTTTATCTGATTTCTTTCTTACTTTTTTCTTTCTTTCTTTCTTTTTTTTTTCTTTCTTTCTTTGTTTCTTTCTTTCTTTCTTTCTTTCTTTCTCTCTTTCTTTCTTTCTTTCTGTTCTCTTTTATTTCTTTATTCCTTGCTCAAATTTATTCTTTCTTTTTTTTACTAGAAATTATTCCGTGTATACCTTCCTTATTTTCTCACTCCTTTTCTCAACTCCCATTTTCTTCTTTTCTGTCTATTTCTAAATACTGCTTTCTTTTTCCTTTTTTTCTTTTTCTTTTTCTTTTTCTTTCTCTCTTTCTCTTTCCCATTCTTTTTCTTTTTTTCTTTATTCCCTATTCTTTTCGTTTTTTCGTCTGTTCCCTTTTTCCTGTTCACTGTTCTTCTCTTTCTTTTCTATTATTTTCCTCCTCTTCCCTGTTCTTCTTCCTTTTTTTTCACTTCTTTTCCGCCACTTCCGTTCTTCTTTTTTCTTTCCTTTTTATCCATGTCCTTACTCTCAGTTTCTTTCTCCTTATTTTTTCACTTTTCTTTTCCTTTCCTTCATAATTTAGCCTCCTTGACTAAAGAAATCTCACATATACTAAGAGACAATAATTTAATTGTCAGTCAAGATGGCATAAAAATATTTTAGATCACTCCCCCACGGGCCCATGCTATCGGCTCTTGAAAAGGGCAGATAAATCACGGATGAAAAAATTTTTTAAATAATCTCGAAATTAGATTTTTTTAAAATTATTATTTTCTTTTTGATATTATCATTAATTTTATTTTCATATATTTTGCTGCATTTTACATGTTTTTTTTTACAAAATCGTTCGGGTTTATATTTCTCTTCCTGAAATCTTAAGTACAGAGGCTATGTGGAAATATATACGTACATAGATGTAAGTTGACAGACAAGCATACACATGGACATTTTGAGACAGACAGACACAAATACACAGAAATAAGTGAAAATTGACAGACAGATATGCATCAGTTAGGATATACCTGTATCATAGCCCCGATTATAAACGATAGTTTATATTGACAGATCATTGGGCACTGTTAACAAATGACGAGAGAACATGAAATGAGGGAGGAGATGCACAAGTGCCTTTTACAATAATTTTATCGCATTATTAAGAAGGTTCGGGGTTGTATTTAAAGACTAAATCACGATATATATATATATATATATATATATATATATATATATATATATATATATATATATATATAATATACACACTAAAATATATACTTAAAGAAGCTTTATTTTTAATTCGACATTTTGTATTACTTAAAACATTACTATAGTGGATACTTCGTATTTGAATTGGAGGCCACATTTTTAGTTATTAAACAGTGTATACTATGGAAAAACCCACTCTCTACACTCAAATTATTTGTTTCCAGAGCCGAAATCTGCTCGGTTTCATATCCGAAATGTAATCAAAGTAATTTCTAAGAATTAACGGGTATATATATATATATATATATATATTAATGACAAAAGGGAAAGTTTTCTTTACCAAATATTTTCGTGCCTTGAGAACTTTATCAAGATATATGTTGAAATTTCATTTTGCAACTCGTATTTGTACACAGAAAGAACGTAGAAGAAAAATATCGTAATGTTTTCAATTTTTTATTAATATGAAAAATATTCTTAAAGCTTGCTGTGTAAGGAAAAGGTAAACTATAGATGTATTATGTAATTTATTGTCTATTAAATGAAAAGGAATAAATCTTGTTGTTGTTCAATTTTAATTCATTTATTTACTTCAATGTAATTATTATTTACTTCTATCTATGTTATTCTGTTTAATTATTTATATATAAATTTATTTATTTTAAATATTTAAAGGTCTTTAATTAACCGCTTTGTTTTAATTTTTTATTGTCGTATATGTTGGCTGGAGAAAGGAGATATTTGAAAAATTCACATCGTAAGGTAACATTTTGGCAAGAATCGATAACTGCACTCTCAATAACTCTTTTAATAAGTTAGGCATTCTTTAGATCGAAGTTGAATTTGAAATTAATCCTGATGCAATGGATAATTTCTTACGTGAGAGATCTTTCTTATGTTCATAAATATATTTTTTTAATTTCTGCAATGTTCCCTAATATCTTTTAAGGAACAGTTTTTACACACGAACACACACACACACACACACACACACACACACACACACACACACACACACAAACACACACACACACACACACATGTGTGTGTATGTGTGTGTGTGTAAACGTAACGTTCCCGAATTTCTGGGTTTATTTACGTTAACTTAAGACTAACTTAAGACTAACGAAAGGCATGAATCTGCTTATCCCTGTATCCTGTTTCTCTGTTAAATACCTTGACAAAATGTCTCGTTATTTCCATGCTACTATGTTTTACAAGAAAAAAATGTCTACGTGGGCAAAACAGTATTCATTTGCGTGGCTATGAGAAAAAAACATAGGGAGAACTGGATTCATGCCTTTTTTCTTACACTTTGAAATAAACACCGGAATTCTAATTTTATTCACCGAATCCGCTTTCTGTGCTAATGAGTACGTATCTCGCCCTGACCGCGGATTAAGCAAATTTCAACCTTTTGTTATGCATGATGACCCGTGAACGAGTTTTCATGTTTTTCGCTTGGAGCAAATTAACTCAAGTATTTCCATCGTCAACTTCCTATTATCAACCGAAGTTAGGAAGAATTGACACTGGAGCAGGTCCAAACTGGCGGTACTTTGTAAACAATAATTGAATCTCAGCCTATGTCGAGCTACAGAAAAGGCACGGGTCACGGATCAGCCTTTACCCTCGGGGACTGCGTACAATGTGTGATCAATACCAAGATTTTCCGGCTTTGAAAAGAACACTCTCATGTACGACATGAGATTTCGCCTGCGCCTGAGTTCATACCAAGTTTCGCCTCATTTACCCGTAATTCTTTACTTCAAGGAGAGATGAAGGATGAAAAAGGTTGTGGCAGAAAGAGAAAGGCGGGTATGTATAGGGTAGCAACTACAACAGAGAAACACGTTTACTTCCTAATTGAGTTTCGAAAGTTTTCCACAGTGAAATACTATGATTACTCTCTTTTATAGCTACACTATTAAGAGTAAAGTTTATTAAACAAATACATCAAAACATTCATTCACTTATAAATTTCGTCGTCACAGTATTAACCACTTAATTATTCAGCGATATATAAATACTTATTTTAAAATAAAAGTTTATTTGCTGAATTTATGGCAACATCTATCTGCGCAGTTCGTTTAAAAACTGATTCATTGTGTGCAGATTTTGGGAAGCTACTTGTATGATCTGTCCTGAATTTCGAAGTCTCAAATTAATAGCCACGTTTCGAGTTTAAAAGTTTTAAAATAAATCGTAAGTCTACTTTGGCGGATAAAGAGCAATGGTTAACTTCAGTGCTTTCAGAGAGTTAAAAGGGTTGAAAACTACCACCGAACTGTGAAGCAGTCTTTTGCAGAACCTGAATGACTCATACGGGCAAATTGAGACCTTTATTCCGTCGTGCCCTTTATCAAGAGAGAAGGTATGCAAAATCCGTCTTTGTCGAGCAATCATTTTTTAAGCATTATAGCAGCAAGGAATTGTCGAAAATCGCAAGAGATCAGTCCTAAATCAAGCCACCCTGAAAAGACATCCACAAAGAAAAAAGAATGAAAAGAACAATAGAATAAATAAAAACAGTTTTAAATTTTCTTTTCACCAACGAATGCCGTACTACATTGAATAGATTTTAGAAATTTTAGAATGTTTTGCAACACGTCAACACGTGGTGAAATCCTTACAGTATTTAGTATTGTTGAAGTTATCACTAACATTTTTGGTCGACATTTACAAACTCTACCTTTCGTTCGATTTCGCAAACCAATTGATGAAATTTGAATAAGCTGATTTGTTTGGAAAAAATACTTAAAAATACCCTACTTCGCGATTTAATAATTTCATAAGACTTCATGGTAAACAATAATTTTTAAGAAAAAAATTATTTTTTTTCCCTTTTTAACAGCGAGGAATAAATAAATTCTTAAAATTCCTTACTCCTTAGCATGCAACATACAACTATTCATGTGTATATATTTATTTCTGGAGCCAAATTTCCAACTTTTTGAAGCATTTGACCTTGTGATTTGTTTATAGTTCTCGCAAACGCAAGGTGAACTGGAAACTGGATTCTTGTATATAAAAACTTAAAGAAAAGATATGCAAAAAATAATATTGCATTTTTATTAAATAAGTATTTGTTATTTTAATTTGTTGTTTTTAACATATTGTGGAGTATTTTGGATGTTAAATAATGAAACTTTTCATTTTTCAAAAAAAAAAAATTAATGAAATTTTATGGCATTAAGCTGAACACCCTAGTAAAACCAACTATACTTTGTACCCACTTACCAGTTTGCACTTCTCTCCAAAGTTTGGTTTCGATCAGTCAATGAAAGACTATTTTAGAGGGTGTGACGGATGGGCGGAGGTCACAGAATTTTATATATAGAAAATGACATCCGTTTAATGAAGTGACCAGCTTGTTCACCCGACCCTACTGAAAGGTGTACATTGGCAGATGGCAATTTACCAGCAAAGATTAACTCTGGAATGCGGGACCTCTGAATTCTGGGAATGCATTCATTATTTTTCTAAAGATTAAGAAAAATTAAAAGCAGCTAATAATGTGAGCCTCCCCTGGATTAGAGAGAAACTGTCGTTACATTCGGAGAGAGCAGATTTTTCTCTAATAAGATTTCTCGAATATTCAAGCCGGTAGGCGAAAATGAATAAATATCAGTGAGTTATGTGCCATGCGTAATACACGCTTAGGCGATCATGTATCTTTCAATACATGACTGACAAGGAAGATTTTTTCCCGCAGTAGGTTGCCAGTTGCCATCCAAGGTTATAGAACCCGATCTGTCCTACTATTTGCCCATAGCTTTCTGGGGGGGTAGAAGAAGAGGATTCGTATCTTTCGTAAGTGAATGTAATGGATTCGACAGGAATTCGAACTCGGCTCTCCGATTCTTCAATCCGTGCCGCTATCCGTGCCCCCCCCCCATTGCTCCACCATGCCTCCAAGTATATAAATATACTGTTTAATAAATAAATTGAGCGTTTAATATATGAGAATCCACTAAAAATAACGTATAAAATGATAAAAAGTAAATAAAGGGCATATATATATATATATATATATATATATATATATATATATATATATATATATACCCTTAGACATGGCAGTGAATGCTGGACAATCTTCTCACAGACAAAGAAGAGATTTGAATCAACAGAAATGTGGTTCTATAGAAGGATGCTGATAATGCCATGGACCGAACATGTAGGCAATGATGAAGTTTTAGAGAAAATGGAAACAAAAATGATTGTACTTAATTAATGTTAACATCGGGAAGAGACAATTGACATTTCCAGGGCACGTAAAAAGAAAAGAGGGCCTAGAAAATTTGTCACTCACAGAACATATCGAAAGCAAGTGTCTATATGGTATACACGTGTAGAAGAAGAAGAAGAAGAAGAAGAAGAAGAAGAAGAAGAAGAAGAAGAAGATTTCGTTAGCAACCAGTCTAGGAGAAAATCTATTTTCTTTAAATGCCTGTGATTGTAGCGTCATCTGACAGGTTTCGCACACTGCACCAGTACAGGATATAGTGCTATGGTGGGCAGAATGTGCATTGCATTGCAGAGAAAATTGACCCCTTTAAACAATTAACGTGTGCAGGTTGTTTACTAAAAAAACTTAGAATTTACTGAAGCCACATCCGCTGTTCTCGATGAGAAAATCGATGAGGCAAAGAGAAGATTTACATTGAGCGACAGATCGATTGATTTTCTTTTAACTGTATTCTTATAGAAATTCGATTTCGTATAAGTTGTTATTTTTATTTATTTATTTTTATTTTATATTTATATTTTTTCAAAATTTACGTATTACACCTGAATATGACAATATAGACGAGAACAACAGTCCTAAGAATATAGTGGAAATGACAGAAATATATATATATATATATATATATATATATATATATATATATATATATATACTCTCTGTGTTTATATATATATATATATATATTCTTGAGGAAATTTGACAAATGGAAAACATTTCATTGGAACTGTAAGTATTGGATATTGGATGAGGATTTTCCTTAGATTCATTTCCGAAAAGTCGATATGAATCTCTTGCTTTCGAGCCATTCTGAAAATGAGAAGAGGATTTACCGTTAATTCGATACAGACAAGCTGGTGGGAAAAATGTACTAAGAATTGTAAAGAAAAGATACAGAATAAATATTAACAGCTTTTTTAAAAGTCATTCATTTTCTTTCAGAAGAAACGTCAGTTTAGGGAAAAAGTACTAAGATTCATTATTTAAGCATACACAAATACACATACATACATTTCTTTCTATTGTTTTGGAAACTGATGAAGACTAGAAAGGCAAAGCGCGTAATCAAATCTAATTTCAATAAAACGTTTATATATATATATATATATATATATATATATATATATATATATATATATATATATATATATATATATTTACAATGAATCAAAAACAAAAAGTAGATTAGTAAAGTTAAATTTTTACAATGCATTAACCTACTACTCACTCGATGTATGTTATGATCCTTGTTTATTTAAACTGTATTAGGTCTTCATTAAATACGCAAGTACTGTCGGCTGTACGTCCAATTATCTTCAGGCATGGAAATTATTTTTTTTTTTGGTAAAATTCAAGTAGCATCCGAGACGAAAAACTATAATCCGAATCGAATTTTTTTTTTTTTTTTTTTTTTTGAAATGTGATATTGATAACGGATACCAAATTTTGAAGCTTTCAGTCGCAACGCTAAGGTTGAATTCTTTTGAAAATTTAAATGAGTGCATTTTTCTTTTACTATTATGGCAATTTGAGTATTTTTTTTTTTTTGTTGTAGGAGTTTATCAGTCAATGTGGCATGAACTAAATTGTTCAATAAAAAGATTAATGTCTCAGTTGTTATCCCGAAAATTTGCACGTCGGGTCAGTGCTTTTAAATCAAATATGTCGCGCAGTTCAATTTATATTACAATGAATCATTCATACAAAAAGTAAATTAGTAAAGTTAAAAAAAAATCTACAGTCGAAAGTACTTGCGTATTTAAGAAAGACCTAATACAGTTTTAAAAAAAAACACAAGGATCATAACATTCATCAAGTGATTAGTAGGTTAATACATATTTAAAATTTAGTTAGCGAAGGGATTTCGTCATTTTATATCATTAACTTTACCAATTTACTTTTTGTATGAATGATTCATTGTAATATAAATTGAACTGCACCACATATTTGATTTAAAAGAACTGATATGGGATATCTTGTGTTGATTACTGGATTAAATCTGTCTCTGTGGTGCCGTTTCTTGTTCTTTCCTTCTGAACAATACATAGATTTCACTGCCTGATCTAGAGATTGAACCCACGCTTAATAATTGACACCAACACTTGATTTATAAATACCTTTATGTTGATATAAGTATACAAAATATGAACGAAAAGCGTAAATACGAGCAACCTGGCGATAGCCAGATGGTACATGGTTGAAACTTTGTGTCTAATAAAATCTCTGGCACTCAAAGATGAGAACAATAATTCGATTAAATAAGTCAAAGTGTTTTGACAATTTCCAAAATAAAATAAAACAATACTAATTTATATATATTTAATAAGCTTAGTTTAGTCTGCTTACAAGGCCGCCATAACAGAAAGATTTTGGCGAACTTCTGAACTTCGAGTATTTAAGAAAATTAGCTTGGGTTTGCATAACTCCAAGATCGACCTCACTATACACTAAAACAGCATCACGATTAAATATTCCTCACATCCTAGCGTTCATCGATAATAATTCAATATTATGTTTGTTTTAATTTGCTATAAATTTATTGTAAATGTTTATTTTCTCGGATAGCTACATTTTTTGTCTTTGAAAGTTTAAAAAAAAAAGTTTTGTATCTTGACAGAGCATTGTTGCCTTTCTGACATTCTCGACTCTGAGATTTTTTCGCCCGTTTTGTCATGTCGAAAGCTGTCTTCCATATGAGAGAGCACCCTCCTGTGAGAGAGAAAGAGAAAGAGAGGGGTGCAGGTGAACAAACAGGCGGAGAAAGAGAGTAGTCTTTTCCTTCCAGGTTCAGTGAAGTACAAAAAGCCAAAGGGTGCTTCATAGTGCTTTTCCCATGGGACCTAGAATGTGATCTCTGTAGGACGAGCGACAGTCCCTCTTTACAGCATATTTCTGGCAAGCAATAGATAAGGCATGCTGTTGAAGTGAGACCAACAAAAGTCTGTTGTGTTTATGAAATTCCCATCTGTATGTTTTATCTAAATATTAGAACAAAAGACAACTACGTTAAAGAATCGAGGTTTATGTGAGACGCTCCGTTTGCTCGCCAAAATTGTTAATATAAACCATCTGTTTGACAGAGAAGAAGCCACTGTCATTTCAGTTAAAGGGTTTCATTCCAAATACGCAGACTGTACCAGAAATTGGGACTCATGTCAAAATTCCTTCGAAACTAGGACAAAGAGGCTGGCTAAATTGTTACGAATTTTAGCAGAGTACCCGTCAAAAAGCGAGACGATTACTTATGTAAGGATCAGAACTGATTATTCGTAAGCTTTGCTGAGGTTCAAAGTGTTACTTCCTGAACTAAAATCCACTTTTTACCCGTAAAAAAATTGCATATTTCAAGCTCAAGGTTGGATGAGATCAGGTTGTATAACCCTTTTCTCCTATTTTGTATTTCTAAAAGTTTCAAGGTATCAATGTTCTGTTAGTAGTTTCGTTCATTTTGCAGTTTCCACTAAGGAGAGCCGATTTCAAGTGATTCCAACCCTGCAACAAACTCTTCCCTCATTGAACCAATGAAAGAGGGTTGATTCTGACACTGGTTCAAGGGAACGCAAATGAACACTGAGATCAAATCAGTTTCATTCTATTTAACCGACAAGATCTGCCTGTTTAATTATTATTATATTTTTCCACTTTTCAAATATTTTTGTATATATGCGGATTAAATTTTATCCACTATTTGATCCGGATGTTCAAAAATTTATTCAAAAGAAAGCTTGTCAGTTAAAATTAAGAAAATCTGTATAACTGAATTCTTACTATATATATATATATATATATATATATATATATATATATATATATATATATATATATATAGATAGATAGATAGATAGATAGATAGATAGATAGATAGATAGATAGATAGATAGATATGATGGACTCCCGTCGATTTCGACGTATGAGGATCTGACAATCTCATTCAGTTTTTTTTATGTGTCGTAGGTGACACTTCAGTCACGCTAGTGACCTGCATACACGTCCACATATTGTGCAACAGCAGGGATCTCGGGACATTGTCACAGGAATATTTCCGCTGCTTTTCGCTGTTGTCTTTCGTTTTTTAGCCGGTTAATTTCGAAATTTTAGAATGATTTTCGAAATTTCTGATACCACCCTGGAACAAATATCTCCAACTATCCAGGGAAACTGGCTCAAAGTTAGTATGAGGTACATTGACAGCTACTCTTTAGCTTGTCTTTATACCTGAACCAGAGCCGTCCAATAGTCCGTTATCCACTGTCGAGCTGGCTATACATGAGGCTATCATGTATTCTGTCGTCACTCATCCATGCAACATGCCTAGTTGTGAGTGTATCAGGAAAGTATATATATATATATATATATATATATATATATATATATATATATATATATATATATATATATATATATTAAAGGTAATAAGTCCGTTCGTATATAATCTAAGTGGATCTTAGTAATATAAAATATTAAAACTGATGCACAAAAAGAGCTCAATGTATTTACAGAGCAAATAATTAGTACACAATAAATTCCAAACTTAACTCATATGGGGAAAAGGCTTATTCAATACTGGTATAGACTGAATTCGTGTCGGAATTAGAAATTTAACTGTGACAGCTACAACGAAAAACGTCGAAAACTAATACAGAATTTATCCATTTCAATGTTTCAGTCAGACGAAAGGCACGAGACAGTCGTCAGGGAAAGGTGGAAGGTATTCGTCTTAAAGGGAAGAGGTTTTATAAAATTAAACACGGATATTAACCTTATGGCATTGAATAGGTGTTATATGAAGAATGAAATGGCAATTTAGAAATAAGAGAAGAATAAAAAGGAGGTTTAAAAAAAAACTTAAATAGATAAAGTTATGCTTAAAAATACAAAATCATGCTTAAAAGCACTCTTTCAAAGACAACTTATATTTAAAAATATGATATATTTAAATAAATTAAAAATAAGTCATATTTAGATAATTTATAAATTAAGTAAAATTATATTTTAAAAAGTTTATATCTAATATAAAATCAATAGATTATATTAAAGAATAAAAATATTTAGAAATAAAAAATATAATAAGATAAAATAAATTATACATTTAGAAAAAAAATGAAATAAATAATTTTTAACTTTTTAATCAAAAACAAGTTATATTTAAAAATATAAAGTTATACTTTGGAGTACAAAGTTATACTTAAAAATACAAAGTTATATTTAAAAACTACCTTAAAATATATTAAAATTAAAAATATAAAAAAAAATATAAAAAATGTTAGTTAAATAATTAAATAAATTAAAAGATAAATAAATGTTTCGGCCGTTGAACAAAATTAAAGAACTAAAAATAAGTATGTATACATATATATACACATACATATATATATATATACATATATATAAACACACAAATAAATATATTATACATAAGTATATATACATGTATATTCACATACACATATATATATATATGTATATATATACATGTATATATGTATATATATATATATACATATATATACGTATATATATGTAAATATGTATATGTGTATATATATATATATATATACTTATTTTTAGTTCCTTAATTTTGTTCTTTATTTATTTTTTAATTTATTTAATTATTTAATTAACATTTTTTACATATTTTATATATTTTAATTTAAGTTAGTTTATTTTATTGATGTCAAATATTATTATTATTAATAATATGAAATTGTGATGATTATAATGCGATGAAGCTGTCGAAAATGACATGAATATTTGACACATTACTGTATCTGTTTTAAGTGTGATCCCAGTATTTTAATTTGTTCAGGCCGTATAGAAAAAATCATTTCTAGGTCACCCTATCGACTCAGGTTTAATTCTTCCTTCTTTCCTTTCTTTTCTTTCCTTCCCTCACTCATTCTCTCCTTCTCTTCCTCCCCTCTTTCCCCCTCTCTATCTCTTTTACTTTTCCCCCAATTTTTTAAACCTTATATTATTTTTTTTATTTTTCCTTCTTCTTCTTTTAATATATTTTTCCCTTTCCTTTTTTTCTTTCTCTCCCTCTTCCTTTTGTCTGAACAAATTGACTCCATTTATGAAAAAAACAAAAAACAAAAAAAACGTTGGATTGAAGAGATGAATATTTGTAGATATTCATGAAATAAATTATAACCGAATGGATTTTTAAGGATCGTCTGTGCTTATTATTATATTGCTCTGTTTCTTACATTGAGCTCTCTTGGGATTAATGTCCTCCTTGGAATTATCCCTATCAATTATCAACGGATATTATATATATATATATATATATATATATATATATATATATATATATATATATATGAAGAAATATAGTCTTAAGATGTGCTATATTTATGGGATAAAGTGATAAAGAGATAGAGCGTGTATAAATATAAAAGGAACATAGAAGTCAACACTTAGAGGCGACAGTCTTTTTTCATGCTAGATGCAATCGTCATTGCATCTAGCATGAAACAGACTGTCGCCTCTATGTTGACTTATGTTCATATATATATATATATATATATATATATATATATATATATATATTCAAACATGTTTCATTGAATAATATAGACATATTGTGTTTATTTATTTTGCCAGTTGTCTAATCAGCTTTTTGATGTTGAGATGACTTTTTTAACCCAAGTACTTTCGACATTTTATTTACACTATTTACATTGTTCAGACTGTTGTCCTCATCTTTGTTGCCATATTCAAGACGTTTCTTCAGGTGAATGGAATTTCGAACTGAATCCTCAAGGACACATGGCCGAGAAGATAACAAAAAACATTGGTTGAATACAGTGACTTGACTAAAAGAATCGTGAGTTCAATACCCGGATGCAGCTAAAGTGAATAAAAAGGAAGTTAAAGGGAGATAACTGGTACTCGGACATACGAGAGAGGCATGTCACGTGGAACTAGAACACTCTGCCCCGGTGGACGAAATAAAGGGTTCACTTCGAAATTTCAATCACCGGAAGAATGCCGGAGCGTACAACGGCCGAAACGGTATGAATATAGCAACAAAGATGAGGACAACAGTCAAAAAATCTAAATGATGTAAATGAAACTGAGATATCCAGAAAAGGCATGAAACGTCGTGAATATGAGAATAAAGATGATGATAGCAGTCCGAATAGTGTCAATATCTTTTCTGTTATCGATTTAATTGTTGTTACTAAAATGATTATCATTGCTTTTTGTTTTTGCTATAATTTATGATTTATTTATGATTTATAACCTACAGTGGGTGGTAAGATTATAGAGCTTATAGTTAGCACCGGGCACCTTCTGAATAAGCCGTGACCACTTAACCGCCCCCCTCCCGCCAACAACACCACAGTTAATATAAATATATGCATTTATAGCATGAAGCGAAAATATTGCTTTGAAGTCGCCAGCAGAATGTAAATGGAGATAATGTATAGTCATTTTTTTAATTATTTGATCGTCTCCTGTCAAGATTGACAATGGATGTAACAGCTTATTGTTATAATTGCTTCGATAATTGTTAGAGAGAGTTATTTGCCCAATTTCTCACCCACTAGATTTCTTCTCCTGCCTAGTCCTGGGTATAACGATAAACTAAATCTGACAGCAAGGCTTCTGAGCATGTGGTTGGAGGTTTTGAGAAGTGTGGAACCACTTCTTAATTGCTACTGTTCCCAGATCAAGCCTCATCTGGGGTGGTAGCACCTGTTAGGGTCCTAGCTATAGGCAAATGGTAAACCCCAAACAGAAATAAAAACAGTATAAAATAGGAGTAAAACATTTAAAAAATTACCAACAATACAATTTTATACAAAAAATGACGATCAATACATTTTATAGTAAAATTGAAGATATGGCATACATTGGCAAAAATACAAATGAAAAAAACAAAACAATTTGCTATAATTAATCTCATTTCT